AGAGGGGAATGCAATGGAAAACAGGGTTTTACATACAGCTGTGAATTATGAATTTAAATCAGTTTAACAATCCAACCAAGGGTGTGTTTGTATTTCATGCCCTCTCTTATTGCAGTTATTGAATCCACCCACTTCTCCGTCACATACATATTTATTTTCCAATAGCTCTGAAAGATTTCCAAGGTAGAGCAAGAAACAGGGAATGCAGCTGACGTCTATCTCCCCCTGGGAATTATGTCACTCCTTGATTTAATTCCTCCTGACATTTTCTTCATTGTACTTTCTGCTCTTCATCAAAATACATCCCTCTCAGAAAACAAATGTACTCACTGACTGCTCAGCGCAGTGTTGGAAATGGTTGCAAATTTTCATGTGTAGATTACACACATACACGCATGCACGCACACACAACAAAATGTAGAAACCTGTTCCATAAGGTCACGTGAGCTAAAAGGGTTGGCTTGGCCATCCCAAATCTCAGGGGCTTCTCTGCAAACCCCACTTAGACAAGGTAGAGGGAATTATTTTCCATTTTTAGGCCACTGACAATTTTGTTTGCTTAAGCTTAATTGTTCCCGGATACTGAGAAGGTACAAAAGGTGACTCTGTTGATTTTAATGACTCTTTGGCATTGCTTGAACATCCTCACTGAAAAAATATTACTAAAACATAGCCGTGCAAAATAGGCAGAGTTAGGATTTTTGTAGTTTATGTTTTGCTTTACTGAAAAAATAAAATTCTCATGGAGGTAAAATGCAGATAAAATCCAGCTGTGCTGCCAATGACCTTTGTGTTTACTGCACATGGCCAGGGGGCTGGAGCCCAGGAGGGCACTGTTTCTGCTCATCAGAGCAGATCTCACTTGCCTTCAAGAAACACAGGCTGTGCCCTCTGCCAGGCAGAGACAGCCTACAGGGATGACCGTCTGCATACGCCTGCTCTTTCCCCTTTCTCCCAACCTCTACAACCTGACTCCAGCCTTCGCTGCCTCTCAGAAAGGGCCCTGGGCTAGTGGTGCTCATCTCTCCACCTGCCCAGCAGCAGCACAATTTTAACTGGCAGAAATGGAACACAAACTTGCAGAAGTGCCGGAGATCAGAGACACACCTTGTGAAATAACTGTTGTGTGACAGCATTAAATCATGCAGCCAGGTCCCCCTGAGGTGAGGAAGCCACCTCCGCTCTCACCCAGCCTGCTCCCTAGAATGTTGAGTCACATCTGTGTTTGCTGAGGGCACGAACAGCCTGCCCATTCCCAGGCCCAACCAAAGGTGTCACGCAGAGCCTCCCCGAAGTGCCCTAAGGGCCCTCTCTTCCTGGAGGCCCCCCACTACCAACTTCCACCCCTGTTCCCTTTCTGCTTCCTTTTTTCGGGCTCTTCTTTCTAAGCTGTCACTTTAAAGATAACTACAATGCAGGCCTCCATCCCCTCCATCCCTGACCTCTCCTAATTCCCCACATTTTGCCTCTGAATTGATGACTTTCAAGAAAGATCAGGAACAAAGTGGGAAGGTGAAATGTCAGCCCTCTCTAAATCTCTGGGAGCGAGTAGGTACATTTTGAAAATGCATGTTCGATATTAGAATTTAATATTTAATTTGGAAAAGTCTACTGTTTTGAATAGATATCACTGCAGGCGAGGCTTGATGGTCTCCTCGGTGGCTGAGGCAAGTGGATGCTGCAGTGTGTCTTCCCAGGCTGGTGCTGTGACTGGTGTATTACAGATTGAGAAACAACCATTCCCAATAACCTCATCCACACCCACACCTTCAATTACACCACTGTGCTGACACCGCCCGGTGCTCTTTCTCCATCCCAGATCTCCAAGGAAGCTTCTGATACACATTGCACTGCTTGGGGGTCATTTCCACCTGCAAATGTCCCCTCTCACAGGCCTAAAATGAGCTCACTGCCTTCCCCACACCCTGCTTCTGTCTCTGAGTGGTACCACCATCGCCCCATCTCCAAACCCAGAGGCAGGGTGCGTCTCTTGCCCTGCTCTTTCCACATGATGGTCACCAAAACGCCTCCCTTCTGCATCTTCTTTCCATCTTAATAGACACTGCCCCAGCTCAGATGCTTCCTCGGGGTTCTTAGGCAATAGCAGCATCCTGCCTGGATTCTTTGGCTTCAGGTTCTCCTTCTGGTATGTCTTCCACTCTAATGGAAAATGAGCATCTGAAATACAGGTTTGCAGTTCCTACTCCTTTCCTTAAGCTATTCTGTCCTTGTTTCTTACAAAATAAAGTCAAACTTTCTTAGAACAATCATGAGTCTCCCATCTACCTACCCTACTGCTTTTATTTCTCCCATAAATTCTACTTTCCAGCTACCTTAATCTGCACACACTCCCCACTCTACCTGCAGACTTTTATGCGCCTGGTTGCCTCTGCCTAAGAGTCCTTCTCCCCAGCCGGCTGAGCAACGAATCCCCACATTTTCTTCAGAACCCAACTTACTCTCACCTGTGTGCAATCTTTCCAAATTACTCCAGGTAAAACTAGTTATCTTTCTATTCATCTCCTGTTTACATTTTTCACAGGCTTCTTTGAGCTGCTATTGGTTTATAAATTTAATTATTTGATTAGGTTCTATCTTCTGTATCATAAGCTCCTTGACTGCAGGAGCTAAGACAATATATGCATCTGTATTTCCCTGAAATCTAACACAGAGCCTTGGGAAGAATAGGGCTAAAAGACTGAAGAAGGCAGACAGCCTGCCACCTGTAACATTACTATGGTCTCCTCAGGTCTGTTAGGTCATAGCAGGGCCATCCATGGCAGTACAGAGTTGCAAGATCTTTGCATTAGGACTCTAATTCTATAAAACAAATATCTATGCTTAGTGGCTTAAAAAAGTAATAAGCATTTGTGATCTTTCTGTGGATAAGGAATTTGGATACGGTATACAGGGGTCGCTTGTACCTTCCTCGTCCTGTCTAAAGGCTTTGATTGAAAGGCCATAGCCCACAGGCTAGAATTAACTGATGGCTCATTCTCTCACATGGTGACATTGACTGTCATCTGGGGTTTAGCTAAACAGGCAGAGCACCTCCATATGACTTCCACCTGCGCACTTAGCTTCCTTACAACATGGTAGATGAATATCCAGGACGAGTGTCCTGAAGTAAGAAAAAAGCAAGTGGAAAGCACATTGCCTTCCTTTGGATGTCAAACTGCATCATTTCTAGCATCTTTTGTTGATCAAGCTAGTCACATAGATACATCCAGGCCCTTAGGAGGGAGCACAGAGCACACTCCTTATGGGAAGAGTGCTAACTAATATCACATTTTACTAAAAATACGTAAGACAGTGTTTACAGTGAAGGGAATGTATTTGGAAAACAGTTCCCACAATCTTCTTCCAAAGATACCAATATGGACACCAGCCTTAACCTTTTTCTCTTCTAATTTTTTAAATTTTTATTTGCAGTACACAATAATTATAGTCATCATGGGGAGTTGATACATTTCATAACTCATCTTAATTCTCTTTACATCCCTTTCCCTCCTCCTCTTTTACCACTTGTAAAAGATCTCTTTGTTTCCCACCATCTCTCTTTCATTTAGTTATTTGAGTTTCTCATATAAGAGAAATCATGTAATAGTTAGGCTTGTATGATTTATTTCACTTAACATTATGGTCTCAAGATGTATCCATTCTTCCTACAAATGACTCAGATTTTTCCTTCCCTATAGTGGGGTGGTACTCCCGTGGATACGTGTACCTATTTCTTTACCCAGTCATTTGTTGATGGACATACAGGCCACTTCCTATTGTGGGCTGTGCTGCTGTAAACATGGATATACATCATATGTAATATGGTGCCTTTAACTCTTTCAAGATACCCAGAAGGGGATAGACTAGCTCAAATGTAATTTCTTGCTTTAGTTTTTTGAGAAATCTCCATAATGATGGTACTAGTTTATACTCCCACCAACACATCAGAGGGGTTCCATTTTCCTGCAGCCTTGCCAGCACTGGGATTGCACTAAATCTATATATCATTTTGGAGGATATAGCTATTCTGACAATACTGGCTCTGCTTCTCCAGGAATAGGAGATATCTTTCCAATTTTTGGCATCCTCTTCAATCTCCTTTTTCAGAGTACTGTAATTTTCATGGTAAAGGTCTTTCACTTCTTTAATCAGGTTAATTCCTACATTTTAAATTTTTCTTGATGATACTGCTTTTCTCATATTTTTCATTGAGCTTATTATTGGTGTGCAGAAATTCTACTGGGTTTTGTGTGTTAACTTTGTATTCTGCTACATGGCTGAATTTGGTTATTCTAGGAATTTTTGTTGGAATTTTTTGGGCTCTTTCATGTAAAGCATCAAGTTATCTGCAAATAATAATTTGACTTCTTCCTTTCCTATGTATGTCCTTTTCATCTTCTCCTACTTGATTCCTCTGGTTAATGTCTTGAGCACTATATTGAACAGGAATAGCAACTATAAACATCTTCATCTTATTCCTGACCTTAGAGGAGGTTTTCAGCTTCTCCCCATTTAATATGATGCTGGCAATAAGTTTATTATAAATGATCACCTTTGGTCATGTAAGGTATAGGAGCACATATCATATAAGTACCTAAATGACTGCTCAGTTTTACTATCAGCATCTGTATGCTGTGTCTCAGATGGGAGCTCCATCCAGGTAGGCAGAATCCCACCTCCTCATCAATATACCATCTACCATCTACCATTACTTTCCTGTGCAAGAATCAAGTAGTTGCAAGAGAGAATTATGCAACCCTACAAAACTTAAAACCTGTACTCAAAACACATTTCATAAGCAACTGCCTGTATAATGTATCACCTAGTGAAATCGGGGTCACAGAGCTTGGCCTAAAGCCTTTACCCTGACAGAGAGCCATGAGACGCCACCACCCACGGCACCTGCATCTTGCCAGTAAAGGGAAGGGATTTGGAGCTACCAAAAAATGTGAGCAGCAACTGGAAAATCAGCAAGCACCATCACCACAGGCAGCTTTTACCTGGATAGCAACCATCGCTACAGGGAAACCTCCGTTAGCACTTCGCAAATTCTGCAAGTCTCCAGTTCAGCTGGGACCTGTGTCCTTGATCATAAGTCTGGGTTCTCCGGCTCCACTGGGTCATCCTCCTTACAAAGCAGGAGACAGAAATGTTTGAGAACACAAAGTGACCAGAGAGAATCTGCTCAAATGTACTCTGAAAATTCACTTTTCACATCCTTATTGACCTTGGGACACAAGTGTGAGCTCTGTGAATGAGGAAGACACTGCTCATCATATACTAAGAACTCCTTTTCTGTTATGACTGTTTTTTAAAATTATCTATCATTCATTAAATACATATTATTGCGGATCAGCACCATGCGTGGGCAGCCAGAGGGACAGCCAGACCCCAGTTTTTCCCCATGAGTCAGCATCATTCATAGGCTGCGGGGGAAAAGAACAAGAAGTTGAAGCTAGTCCTCCCTGTGAATCAGTGCCACGAGCAGGCCGGTGTGGGGACAGCCAGACCCCAGTCTTCTGGCATGCTGGCTGGGAAACCAGAAGAGCCGCCACCACGACCAGCACCACCAAAATCAACCAGCTGACCCATAGAAACACAGACTGTGATGATAGTTATGGAGGTGAAATCCATTTGATGCTTACGTGGTGCTTGGTGTTTCATTGACTTTGCAAGTCTAGAGCTGGTGGTCTGATCATCTATCCAGAGGATAATGGTATGCAGTGTGGTATCTATGCGGGACTCCTTCTAAAGGTGGCACCCATTGTTAATTCCCTATTATCTTGTTTCAAAGTCCTGTACCATTTTCACAGTTTTGTTGGGTTGGGTTCTATTCTGTTTTGTCTTGTTTGATTTTATTATTTCCGAAGGCGTGGGCAGCTGTCTCAAAGCAAGATATATTATGGTAGCCCTTTTGGATTTATTCTTGTCTTGTTTTGAAGTCCTTTATTGCATTCATTGTTTTGTTTTTATTGGTCCCATTCTGTTCTATTTTTGTTTCATTTTTACTATGTCTAAAGTTATTTGAGCTATTTTGAAGACAACCAAAGGCATTATGGTAACCATTGTTGATTTCCTATTGTTTTGAAGTCCTGTGTCACTCACATTGGTTGTTTTGATTGATTTTATTTAATTTTATTTTGCTTGGTTTTATTCTCTTTAAAATAAAATTAACAAAAAAATTAAATTAAATTAAATTTAAAAAGGGGGCCGGGGATTTAGCTCAGCAGCATAAGTGCCTGCCTGGCAAGTGCAAGGTCTTGAGTTCAATCCCCAGTACCAAAAAAAATAAAAATAAAAAATTAAATTAAATTAAATTAAATGCATATTATTGCACACTCACAGGCTGAGGATTTAGCTCAGCTGCTTGAGCGCTTGAATGGTAAGTCATGAGCTCAGTCCCCACCCTCTGCCAAAAAAATGCAACAAAAATTATTGTACATGCACTACATACTAATTTTAGGCACTGAGAATAAAAAATAAGAAAAAATTTTGTCCACAATAATAATTGCTGAATGTTTATTATATGTCAAGCAGTTTTCTAAAAATCATGGTAGGGCCAGGGATACAGCTCAGCAGCACAGCACCTGCTTGGAGGTGTAAGGTTATGAGTTTGATTCTCAGAACCAATAAATAAATATCATGGTAGCCATTTAAAACTCACAGAAATACCAAGAATTAAATACTAACATTATCTTAGTTCACAAAGAAGAGACTGAGGCACAGAAAAGTTTATTTAACAAATCTGTCTCTGTCTCTGTCTGTCTCTCTCTCTCTCTCTCTCTCTCTCTCTCTCTCTCTCTCTCTCCTGCTCTCCAAGCTAATATTTACAAAAGCTGGAATACACAGCTGGAGTGCTAAAATTTAAAAGTAAAAACCTTTATCACTGCATTTACCGCACATTTCTCTTGCTACATAGCCCCCAGGGACTCAGAGGACCATTTCAGACCATGAACACCCAGCAGGTTTATGTGATCTCACCAGGTCACACAGCCGGGCAGGACAGGCCAATGCTGCTCCACTTGAAGGACTACAGTGAGACCCTAGAGGAGCCTGTCAACTTTAGAGCCCAGAGGATCAATTCCTGTCTTCATCTCCCGTCCTGTCCTGGGTCCCTGTACTAAGAATCTTGATACCACATTCAGGTGCCTCCCAGCAAAAGTGTCTGCTCAGACAGTAAGAAGTAAACCTAAAGCCTGACCAGGAGGAGGCCCAGAGCCAAACACTGGGCATCAACATCCCCTGGCTTTAGGGTCAGATGACTTCACTTTGACCTTCAGCTCAGTGTGCTTTACCCAGATCAGCCCAGTAGGGAAGCTGAGTGCTCCTCTGAGAGGACACAAAGGTCAGCTCACCTGCAGAACACACTGGCCTTCCCCTGTGAAAGGTCATGGGGTGCCTAACTTTACTGACAGCCATGGCAGGGTAAGCTGTCTCCCACAGAGGAAATAGGGCAGCCTTTGAGACAGCAAAAGCCTTTACAAGTGAAGACAAGATGAATGGAGAGCCAAAGTTGTTTAACTGAGTAGGAGGCTGCTCTGAAAACAGCAGGCCTGTGTTCTTGCGTCCCTTGTAAAAGCATTCTAGAAGATTCGTGAGGTTCTCAGAATCAGTGAGATCAGCCTTCTAGGGAGACTCCCCATCCAGCTCCCACACAAGGAGTTCACTGCTCTGGGTTAAACAGCAGCAATCCTCCTAAGAAAATCATGAACATATCAATGCTCCAATGCCCACCAGAGGGATGTTCTGAGAGTCAAGTGTCGGTCCCAGGGTAAGGCTCAATGACCTTACAGGGCAGATCAAATACTATAATCTCTTTATGCTTCAGTCCCTTGTCTTTAAAATTCTAAATCATTTTCCCTTGGAAACGTGTTGTATTAAAGGCTAATATACAGAAGTATTTACAGTAGCCTCCTGGCACATTCTGGGTGTCACTTGAGAGTTTTCCTTACTAGCCTGTCTTACATGAACAACCTAATTGGTAGGGACTCCTGTCATTCAGTTTTACAGGAAGGAAAGAGAAGCACAGAGAATTTATGATGACATTTCATAGCTTCTAAGTGCTGGGACTGGGATTTGAGCCTAAGCAGTCAAACTCCTGAGTCTGCTCCTGCTCAGTCAATACAGTTCTACCTGAGACCCTACCATGCCTGCTGTGATGTCCAGCAGACACATCATCACAGCTGGACCTGAGTAACAGCTGGTATTTGTGAGGAGCTTGGAAGGACACAGATAGCAATGTGTTTCTTGACTGGGCTTTAGCCATTAGTTGAAGACTTAGAATCCTCACTCTACCGTTTGCTAGTAACATAAATTTGAGTGAAATGAAGTCACAGCTAGAGAGCACTTAATGTAGCAAGTGGTCAGCAAATAGAGGCTTTTTCTAACTTCATCTCCCTGCAGCTGCCTCCCAGATGCTTCTTTTCATAGCTTCTCCCTCCTGCCCCCAACTACTACCCGCTCCCCATTCTCCGTACGGAACATAGATGGTTAACTTCACCGTCTCTGGCTTACTGTACCCCCAGCAACAACTCTTTCCCTCGTGCCCTCTGGGACGTGGTTCAGCACTGCCATTCAGATTCCTCTCGTGTTCCTACCTCTAAGCACCAGCATTTCTATGGCAGTTTCTCAGCACTGGTTCCCTCCTCCTCCCACTGTACACACAGATCTCCGTGCATCTATACACTGACAACTCCCAACCTGCACATCCTGAAAAGGTCACACTCTCAGTTCCTGACCTTTATTTCCATCTCACTTCTCTGCTTGGACCTCCCAACAGTGCTTGTCAAAACAGGAACCATCCTTCTCATCCTCAAACATGTTCTCCCTCCCCGTATCCCATCACTCAGTGGTGGGCACCATTGCTGGCCCCACTGCCCACACTAGAAGCTGGGAGCTGTCCTCGAGTCCTCTTTCCACTCAACCTCCCTATCTAACTGGTCACCAAGTCTCATGGATCGCTCCCTCTTTCTGAAGTCTTCCCCTCTCTCTAGCTCCGTTGTCCTACCTAGTTCAGGCCCTTGTTGTGGCTGTTACAGCTTTGGGTAGCTTCCTACCACAGCTCTCCTCTGAAGCCTGTGCATTCTTCTAAAACATTCTCTACACCAGGGCTCAGCAGCCTATCTGTCAAGAGCCAACTGGCACAGATTTTAACGGGTCTCTGTCACAACAGCCAGCTTTGTCATTATATTCTAAAAGCACCTACAGGTAAATGAGTGTGTCTACGTTTTAATCAAACTTTTTTTAGAAAAACAAAAGCCATAGTTTGCCAACTTCATTGCCGTACAAATGGTCTCTCTAACATAACTAAAGATCCGTATAATTTCTCATTTGAAACCCTTCAACAACTTTTCAGTGCTGTTTAGAGACCAAAATGCTTGGTGAGACTCCAGGACTCTGTGACCCAGTGTCTCTTTCTTCTGTTCATCACCACATGAAACCTTGAGTGTTAACGTCTCCCGACTACTGCACACTCTGAAATCGACTGTGACCATTTCCACCTCTGCACTTACATATATGTTGATCCTTTATCTGAGGATGATCTTTGCTTGTTTTATTCACCCTTGAATTGATGCTATGGCTTGTATCCAGCTATCCCCCTAAAGCCTCATGGACTCATAGCTGAGGCTTCCAGGATCTGATTGCTTTATGGGGATGTGCTAATCATCAGTGGATTGGTCGACTGATGAGTTTACAGCCAAATGCGATGGTAAGAGATGAATCCTAGTCAGAGGAGATGGGTTACCACATGGTGGCCAGAAGTGTCTACCTCCTTTCCTCTCTGTTTAACATCTCTGCTTCCTGCCATGAGCGATTCCTTTACCCTACCTTGGAGATGGCCACCTATGGACTGAGAATCTCTGCAAACTGTGAGCCAAAATAAGCCTCTCCTCCTTTAACTTGTCAGTGTTGGGTACAGTGGTACCTCAGCTCACAAACTTGATGCGTTCTGTGAGCTAGATAAGTACTGAATCAAATTCAGTGGTGAGGTTCAAAGTAGATCTTATGGAGAAATTTGATCCCGTTCTCATCCAGTTCAGTTTACAACCAGAATCACAGAGAGAACTGAGTTTGTGAGCCAAAGTACTGCTGTGTTTTGTTCCAGCAACAAGAAAGTAAAATAATTGG